TTTTTTTTTTTTTTTTTTTTTTTTTTTTAAAGATTTTATTTATTTGACAGAGAGACACACAGCGAGAGAGGGAACACAAGCAAGGGGAGTGGGAGAGGGAGAAGCAGACTCCCTATGGAGCAGGGAGCCTGATGCGGGGCTCGATCCCAGGACCCTGGGATCATGACCTGAGCCGAAGGCAGATGCTTAACCACTGAGCCACCCAGGCGCCCCTGGGCTGTCACTTTTCTTATCCTGTTTTTTTCTTTAATGCAGCAAATGGGGGAGCTGGAGGTACACTGACAGCCGACAGACTGTCTTTAGGGAGCCACAACTGATTCTAAGTGAATCAAATGCAATCTGAAGCCCTCTGTTGTCAGACACTGTGTTCTTCCAAAACCCTGGTACCCACAGTAAGACAGTAGGGCAGTTATAGGCATTAATTCAAGCTCATGGCCACAGCCAGGCTGATTCACACCCTCTGTCCAGGAAGCAAGGAAAGTGTGTCTCGGACAAAACTTCACTTACTGTCAGTAAGAGCTTAAAAGGTGGCATTGCTTACATCAAGGGGAAAAGTGGTTTTTCAAATGCACAGTGTTTAGCTCTTGGAAAGCAGCTTACTGAGAAGTAATTCATTTTCTGATGTTGCTAAATAAAGAAGACATTAGTGTTCTTGCCATATTCTGTGTATAAAAGTAAATACTTTGTAGGAATTGTGAGTAATGATCATGAAATGATAGATAAGCTTTGATTGTGTTACTCAGACAAGGTATTTTCTTTTATTCTCTCAAGGGAGAACTTGAGGATGTGCAGGAGATGCCTGCTCCAGAACCTCCCCTTGGGAGTGTTTTGGCTGCAAATTTGAGTATTACTTTACAAGATGACAGAAGTGAAGGGAGCAATTTGCCATCGGCTTCCACTAGTGATTCTGCACCACAGTGTGATGCCAGTTTCAAAGAAGATGCAGGTGAAAACACAGCCTTACTAGGTAAGTGCCTTGCAAGTCACAAAATGATGTTAGCAGTTGGGGAAAAAAATGCAGAAAAGCATAAAGAAAAATGAAAACCATAATCCCACACCTGCAAATACCATTTTCAACATTTTGATAAATCCCTTTTCAGGTGTTTTTCAGTGTTTAAGGATGGGGAGAATATCATTTATGTGCTGTTAGGTAACCTGTTTTTTCTCTTAATGTGTGAAGCTCTCTCTGTGTGGTGTGTGATTCTGTGTGGTACGTAGTGTTACAACTCCAGTTTACTGGAATTTTTTTAAACTGCACCCTTTTGGTGGACTTTAACACTTTGAAATCATTATGTGTATACCTTCACCACTTGTCTGATTGCTTCTTGTCATTCGGAGGGATGAAATAGAGTGAATTGCATTTTTTTTTATTACCGGTGAGATTACCTTTTCATATTTGTGGTCGTTTTTATTCTCTTACAAGTTGCCCGTTTCGTGCGTACCTTGTTTTGCTCCGGAGAAACTAATTTTTTCATGTTGCTTCTAAGAGCTCTTTGGTATTTGTATTTGTCATCTGTATTGTATACTTCTTCCCCAATTTCGGTATCATTTGGTTGATGTATTTTGTTTTTGTTTTTTAAATTTTTTTTTGATGTAGTGTTCCATGGTTCATTGTTTGCGTATAACACCCAGTGCTCCACGCAGAACGTGCCCTCCTTAATACCCATCACCAGGCTAACCCATCCCCCCACCCCCTCCCCTCTAGAACCCGCAGTTTGTTTCTCAGCATCCATAGTCTCTCATGGTTCATCTCCCCCTCAGATTTCCCCCCCTTCATTTTTCTCTTCCTACTATATTCTTTTCTTTTTTTTTTTTTTTAACATATAATGTATTATTTGTTTCAGAGGTACAGATCCGTGATTCATCAGTCCTACACAATTCACAGTGCTCACCACAGCACACTCCCCAATGTCCATCACCTAGCCAACCCATCCCTCCCACCCCCCACCACTCCAGCAACCCTCAGTTTGTTTCCTGAGATTAAGAATTCCTCATATTGGGACGCCTGGGTGGCTGCCTTTGGCCTAGGTCATGATCCCAGGGTCCTGGGATCGAGTCCC